TCATTGAGATAAGAAGGAAAAATTTTCATCTATATACTCAGTTCTATTATCATTTCGAAGAATTTTGAATTTATCTGAATGAGTAATAACAAAAGGTTCAGTACTTGATTAATATTAGGATAAGATGAACGTTTATGCTTGGCAAATTCACAAGTATCACAAACAAAATGTCTATGTCACTAATGTAAAAGTTGAAAGGTGGAAACACCATCTGCTTGGAGAGCTTAACAGATAGACTGATAAGAAGCTTCAGCATTCAAGAGGTACATACCACCATGTGCCAACATGTGCTCTATCACTGCCAATGATTTTCCCTGATTCTAGTTCTTGAAAGATACAATGAGTAAGAAAAAAAGTCATTGAACAATTTAAGGATTTGGTAATACTACTAACAAACAATAAATTCGTGGAGAAATTGAAAACATGAAAAGCAGAGGATAGAGATAAAGAGGGTGAATAATTAATTGAACATTTACTAGAAGTAGAGAATAAAGATCAATCTGTCACCGTAACTTTATCCCTACCAGAACAAGTAGAATATGAGAAAAAGACTAGAAAAACTTATCATGTGATTCGTGGCTCTATAATCTATTATCCAAGGAGTATATGAGGATAACATAGTAAACACACTAGCAGATATACCTGTATAAAAAAGACAAATACTTGAGGTAGGATTAGGAGTTATGGTAGATGAAACATCAAGTCGAGCCGTCAACTATCCAGGAGTTTGCATCTCATCGTGAGTGAAATTACTAGAGGTTACACTCCCATCCGACATGTCCACACAATAGGGTTAAATAATTACAGCGGCAAGTCACAAAATTAGCAAAATAGCCAACACTTACAATAGTCCCAATAAAAAATACATTAAATCAGTAAGCAAATATAGCTAAAGTAATATGTCTTAACCTAAAAAAAGCCCAACAGTGGCTAAAAAATTTATGGACAACAACCAAAATAGTCCTAAAAAATACCAAAAAATTGAACCATAACTATAGTGGTGAAAAATACTCTTATAGTGGTGAGAAATCACCATAGCAAGCATCTTCGGGATGGATGAACCCATTATTGCATATCTAACGGAAGGAGTGCTCCCCGAGGATATTAAAGAGGCTAGGAAGATCAAAATCAAAGCCCTCAGATTCTAGATGTCAGCTGATCAGCAGTAATACAGGAAGTCATTTTTAGGACCACTTTTGTTCTGTGTCCCCGATGATAAGGTGGAGTCTTTCCTGTATGAAATCCACGATGGTGTATGTGGGAGCCATACGGGAGGAAGGTCTCTCGCACACTGGGCAATGACGCAAGGATACTGGCGGTCATACATGCAGAAAGACGCCAAGACCTATGTTCGGAAGTGTGACAAATGTCAGAAGTTTGCCCCCGGTATTCGACAACCAGTAGGAGATTTGAACTTACTGACAAGTCCTTGACTGTTTTCTCAGTAGGGGATGAACATTGTCGGACCTCTCTCGAGGGCCCCATTGGGCAAGAAATTCTTATTGGTGGCAACTGATTACTTCACCAAGTGGATCGAGGCTGAGCCACTGAGCCACATTCGAGATGTGAAAAAAGAAGAAATTTGTATGGCAGAACGTTATCACTCGGTTTGGAATCCCTCGGGCTATGATCTCTGACAATGGAACTCAATTCACTAGTGGTCCATTTAGAGAGTTTTGTTCGGGGAGGTTTTCAACAAAACTATGTTGGCCAGAATTAAGAAGAGACTTGAGCAGGCAAAGGGGAGGTGGACCGAGGAATTACTTAACGTGTTATGGGCTTACAGAACCACGCCGAGGATATCTATAAGAGAAACCCCATACGCCTTGTCATATGGAGTTGAAGCTGTCATCCCGTTGGAGGTAGGACTCCCAACAATATCAAGTCAAGCCTTTGAGTTGGGAAACAATGATCAGATGTCTGCTAGAGATCTAGACTTAGCTAAAGAAAGGAGGGCACTGACGTCTATCAGATTAGCAAGATACCAAGAGGAATTATCAAGACAACCCCAGAAGAAGGTCCAGACGAGGAATTTTCAAGTCAGAGATTTAGTGCTACAAAAAGTGATGGGCAATGCTCGGGAACCCACTGATGGAAAACTTGGTCCCAATTGGGAAGACCTTTACAAAGTGATCTCTGTGGGGGGCACAGACGCATATAGATTACAAAGTATGAACATTAATGATGTAACTCGACCATGAAATGTATCGAATTTAAAGAAATACTACTATTAAATTGGATTTCAGGCTTTGCTTATGGTTGTATCAACGAGCCAGGCGCTCGGCAGTTAGGGGTATGGCCCTGAAGGGTGTAAGACTCCACTATTAGAGCAACGCCTTCGAATGACTAACATGAGCCAAGCGCTCGGTCGTTAGGGGTATGGCTCCGAAGGGATATAAGACTCCATCCTTAGAGCAACGCCTTCAAATAATTAACGTGAGTCAAGCGCTCGATCGTTAGGACTATGGTCCCGAGGGGTGTAAGACTCCACCCTTGGAGTAACACAACTTCAAAATTAACACGAGTCAGACGCTCGGTCGTTAGGAGTACGGCCTCGAGGGGTGTAAGACTCCACCCTTGGAGCAACACCTTCAAAATTAACACGAGTCAGACACTCGGTCGTTAGGGGTACGGCCCCGAGGGGTTTAAAGTAAAATTCTCAATCATATACTCTGTCTCAAGGGGGTTTAAGACCCAAAAGCAAGTTCAATGCGAGTTTGCTCATATTTCACTTATTGGGAATTTCTCTTTCCTTATGGATTCAATGCGAAGCCTTGCTACCCTAGTTCTACCTTTCATACTACTTTAGAAGGTCATTATTGACTTGTAACATCAAGGCCACTTCCTAGAAACAAAGTGGTGTGATCATTTAGCAGTCAAATAAGGGAAGGAGGAACACATACAGGGAAAAAGATGTTTCATTACATTAAAATAAAAAAGGGGTTTTGCATCCCCGGGGCGTACAAAGAAGGTAAACAAAGAAATTACGAAACACGAGTCAAAAGCACAGGACATAGAAGTTACACAATCCTTGGACAACTAAGACCCCTCGGCTCCTTCATCCCCGGCATCTCCCCCGCCAAGTCCACCACGCCGCCTTTGTAACCCCTCTCCAACCCCCAATATCTCATCAAGTTCAGTATCATGTCCTCCAGTGATGATGGGGGGCAGAGGAGGAGGAAGGTCATCTCCTTGTTCGGCGGGCGGAAGGGACAGAAGAGCAGGAGAAAGCTGGTCAAAACCATTGCTAAGGGTGATGGGTTCATTCTCACCCTCGACCGCGACCACCCTTTCAGCCTGAACTTGTTTGCTTGGATCCGCTTGGACTTGTCCCTCAAAGACCTCGTCATCGACCTCCCTTCGGAGGCTATGTATGGCAAACAAATCCGAGCCTACCTCAATGTGGCAGGCGTGAAGGGCGGCGTCCCAACTTTCTTTGAAAACCTTTTTCTTAGCTTCCTCGAAGGTGGGAACCATCTGGTCTTGGGTGGCCAACCACACCCTTTGGCACTCTAATTCTAGCCTTTCCTGCTCCCCCGTCTTCTCTGCTGTCAGGGAGTCTACTTTGGCAGTTAGATCATTGATGACGGACTCGGAGTCCTGCAGCTTGACCTCAATGGAGGAGACTCAGAGCTCATACTCTTCGACCTTTTTGACTGTCGCAGCCTCACCCGCCTTCACCTTTTCTAGCTCGGCATCATGGGCGTCGCGTTGGCGGATGAGCTCGGCGATGTGCCAAGTCTAGTCACTGAGGGTCTTCTCCATCGTGAGAACGTGTTCATCTTTGGCAGTCGCGGCTCGCTTGGCATTCCTCGCCGCTTGCTTGTACTCTTAAAAACGCTCGATGATAGCCCCCATCTGCTAACTGGCCTGAAAAGAGAAGGGACTTAGGTCAAAAATTAACAAGTATGCGGTAAGGAATACTCAGGAAAACATCTTACTTACCACCAGGTTGCTTTGAATGGTGCTCATTAGGAGCCGATTGTCCGTATAGCCTTTGTACACGGCCATATCGACTTTGAATTAGAAGGTCCCCGCGACAGCAAGTGTCACATCGGGGGACTGGAGGATAGAGTCTGCCTCCAAGACAGGGCGGGCCCTCTTGGTTTTCGCTCAAGGGGCCCATTCGGCAAAGACGGCGGGGCCCAGGGCGTCTTGTCAGCTCTTCACTCGGCGCTCTTCTAACTACTCGGACTCCCGGGCACGTCTGTCCCTCTGCCAATCTTTAGAGGGGGGAATTTGGTGAGATGGAGCCCTTTACCTTGGCAGCATGATCGGGTCCTTGGATAGCTGAGGACGCAGTGGCGACAGAGGTGGTTGTTGCCAGGGAGAGGTCGGTAGTGGAATGATGGGAGCCGTGTTGGAAGGCCCAGCCAGACCGGCGAGCCTGGCTCTCCTAGCCGTTACCGCAGCCTCCATTGTTGCGGCAGTGATTGGGGGAAGGTTGAACATTTCTTCAGAAGGGGCAGGGGGCTTGGTAGAAGTGTGCTTGGACTCTTGTTCTGAATCTTCCTCGGATTCTTCCTTTGCCGATGAAGAGTGGTCTTCCCAAAGAAAGGGGTTGAATGACGGGGAGATTTGGGAAAATCTGCTATAAGTGGGCATGTAGCCGAGCAATCCATCATTTGCCCCATGCACCAGCATTCCATTGCCACTGCTGCCATGATGCTTGCTACCCCAAGTCATCATCATTCCACTTATGGTTGTGATGGTAGAGAGTTGGGATATAAGATGAAATTGAGATAAAATATTCAAGGGTAGATTAATTCATAATTAGAATTTTTTAGAATCTTTAGTCACTGATTCTATTCTGCAATTGGGTCTATTATTTAAAATTTCAGTTATCAAATGCAATTAATAAGAAAATTTTAAAATATTTTTGTAAGGACAAATTACACTAATATTCCCTAAAATTTAGTATTAATTAAACTTTAGTCCCTAATTTTTTTTTAATTTTGAGTGCTTAATTGGGTTACCAAACAGCCCCCAACCAGAACGATCCTGACTCATAACCCCCTCCCTCCCCTTCTACTTACTCGTTCACCACTTCGTAATCACCGCATCTCCCAAGTCAAGGAAACATAGAAACCTCCCAAACATCGTCCCCAACCGATCAACTCTTCGGCGGCAATGGCCGAGACCGATCCGAAACTCGGAAATTCCGAAATCATACCCAAAGACACAGCTGATTCAAACAGACCCACCAACCCCATCTTGTCTCTCATCCCAAACTTTCTCCAAAATTTCAAATTCCCTCCTTTGAAACAACAAGGAAAAGCGAAAGTAGTTACTGATGATTCGGGACCTCCGCCAATCGAAACGGGTGTTAAGGACGATTTGAACGAGGCAAAGCCGGGTTTCGTGAGGCTTCCGAGGAAGAGTTCGCCTGAGGTCAAACTTGAAGCTGAAGAATGTGAGCAGAATACAAATACCAACCCTGTAGTTCTATGGCAGGTAATGAATGAACTTATTGCATAAATCCGTATTTAGTTGTGGAATTGTGTGTTTCCTTTTTATTAATTTCATGGGTTGTTGATTTTATGAATTTTGGGTTCAGAGTGGATGATTTGTTGTTCTAGTATAATGTAACTTTGCAATCGTAATATTGGGTGAGCATAAACCTTGACATTATTTACATACAAGCTTCGCATCTGTGCAATTTCTAGTGTCAGCACAAAGTTCTATCGAGTGAATTACTGTTTTTTCAGTAGAAATTTGGGCGTTTTGTGGAAACATATATGAAAAGAATATGAGAAGTATGAGTATACCCATTTGAGATGGAAGATTGATTATTGTATCACTAATTGGTGTCTTCGTCTAAAATCTAATACTTCAGAAGGCATTATAGCAGTTGTTGTGGTTATGGAGACTTCGGATGGAATTGGGAATTATATGAAAACTATTGAAGTTGTTGGAAATATGGCACAGGATGTTGACTATGGTCTTATATTCATGTGGATTCATCCACAGATGGTAAGTCCATTTTGTATGTTTACAATCATGACATTTCACAAGCCCTTCTCAGGCCTTCCTCTCCTCCTCCTCCTCCTCAGACCATTGGAGAATGAGAGATCAGTATAGATTCTATTGAAACCCTACCAGAACTGCACGGTCTGAAAATCTTGTTGTCTTGTGTATGTTTCTATCAATGACAAAGAGCATTATGTATTACTCCTGCCACACCATTGTTCAAGGTTACCACATAGTTTTATGCTGAAACTTCGTAATAGAATATTTTAAAACTGGCTCATCATGAGATCGAAAATGATCTATGACTTCTCCTTGGGGTTAACAAATTCTCTAGAATTTTTGATTGGGGCTGAAGATGGGGATTGCAGGTATTCTCCTTGTTTTACACTGATCAGAATTCCTTTGAGGCATCATCATGCATACCAGTATAGCAAATAATTGGCATCAGTACAACAAATGCATCATTTTCACACTCTAAAAGTTTTAACTCTTTGGAAGAAGGCCAGTTACCTGGGTTTGTACATTCTCCAAACTATCAAATATTTTGAAAGGACAGTTTCGGTATACAAAGATCTCTCCGCATTGTGGGGTCTAAGGAGGGTCAAATATGTGCTATCTTATGTGGGTGCAAAGAGAATGTTTCCTTTATTAAATACGTCCAAAATGTGCGCTCAATCATAAATGACTAATAGGGTGTTTACTTTGGTGGATGTCTAACCCCCAACTTTTGTGATAGAGGTCATTGACACCATATATCATACCCATCAATTAGAAAAAGTAATTGCAAGAAAAATAGTCTATCAGCAGTTTTGTGGATGATTGCCAGCTTTGTTTAGGCTTGTTTCACCGAGTTATTTTACAGTTGGTTGAGATCATCTACTGATGCACCCTTCTTTGTTCCTGGGGAGGGCAAGAATTTTTAAGGCCTTCACATTTTTAGGTGCCCCTGGTACTCTAATATACATTGTCAAGATGGAAGATGCTCGAGGAGAATATAATTTCAGCTCTATGCATGAACTGCAAAAAATTACTTCCATGTTGCTTATGCTTTGCTCTTGCTCTCATTTTCTGAAGGGTACTTTGTCCATTTTTGCCCTTTGCAGTCCTATTTTGTAGGAAATTCTGTTATGTAGTCTGCCATGCAGACTATTTGACTGTTCTTCCACTTCTCAACGAAGCATGCTAATAGGCTGGAAGGAGTGCTATAAAACCATCAATCACTGATCTGTGTCTGTGGCATAGTAATGATGAAACTGTGAACCATAGTGGAGGATTAGGATTTTCCCTCGACAATTATTGTGGAAAATCATAGTTAATAAATTTACCTATATGCTAACCTATGTTTTGAGATTCAGTTCCTCTGATTCACCCTCGAAGACAGTCTTTACAGCAAAGAATGCCTTGTTTGTTAAAAAAACTATTTCACATGTCTTGTAAGGGCCTGAGTAGCACCTATAAACAAAAAATGCATCATGGTGTTTGGAAGATGAGTCGCATGGTGTGCTAAGTTTACTGCCTTCTGTTGGGTTTTGTATCAAGTTTCCTATATCAGGGTGCATGCTTGAACCCATTGTCTCAGTTGCAGAACAGCAATTAAAAAACAGGAGAGATAAAATTCAGACTTTATAATCACCTCATTATTAGTCAACCTGTAAACTTGGACTCTCCACGCTTAAAGTTGAAATATATCTTATAATCACATTTACATGCTTTTTGGCTGCTTTCAGGTTTATGCAGTCGGAGGGTTCTTTGTTTTAAGATGGGCGTGGGCAAGATGGAACGAGCGGAGGGGAAGAAGGAAGCCATCCGATGAAGAACCATCTCCAGCGGATGACTAGTGTTTGAATTGCCATGCAACAGACTTTGCACTGTATGAACTGGGGAGTTTGGTCAGGGGATTAAAGGCCAGTTTTTTTTTCTTTTTCACTTGTTTAAGCATTTATAGCCTTCAACATGACTCATGCCTATTCTGGTCACCTTGCAAAAATAGCTTTCGAGGAACATTGCTTTATTAGTTTCCAATTTAAATACTTTCAAGTCCTGCTCTTTTTCCTACTTTGTACCGAGCTTTGCTTTAAGCCAGAATCAATGTTTGGTGCATAGTTTCAATCAGTTAGAAACATCTCCAAAATGTTTTGAAAATGTTTCAGAGACATTTTAAAAACAAAATGGAAACAAAGAACATCTTGCTGCAAAATATTTAAAAATACCTTGAAACGTTAAAATGTAAATATTTTGATATTCAATCACGGATATGTTTTAATTTTCATGCTTGGGATGGTATATAACTCTTGGGAAAAAAGCTATCCAAGAAGGCGGAGTACTTGCCTTTTGGTGACCAAGAAGGTGGGATCCTGCCTTCACCAAGCAAATCATGTAAACTGGTTGAGGCTTGAAATTCGGTTACCAATCCTTTTTTTTTTTTTTTTTTTTGGGTTGTTTTATTTTTATTATTTTTTGAGGTTCCCTTGGAAATTAAAGTATTTTTCTATTAATAGTACCAAAAAAAAAAAAAAAAAAAAAAAAAAAAGCAAATGAAACTGTATCTTAAAAAATTGTAGAATTTTTACTCGGTCCCCTTAGAACATCTCCAACTCCGACTTAAATTTATTCAATGATTATCTTTATTTTCTTTTAAATTTGAGTGTGCCTTTGTTTAAATTTAAATTTACCCATTAAAATATTTTGTATCAAATCAAATTTTTTACTCAAATGTTAATTTAAATTTGAGTAAAAACTTAAATCATGGTTGAAGATATAACTGGAGATGCTCTTAGAAACAAATTACTATTATCTATAAGACTTTTAATCCGACTATATTCGCCCAAAATAATTCATATGATTCACATTCGAATGTGAATTTAAGGAAAGTTAGTTGCACTAAAAACGTAAATTTATTAATAACAATGAGCTGGCTTACAAGAATGCTAGCAGGTTAAATATGAAACAATGATACACTTGTTAACAATCTGTACACAAGCTAATTTTACCGACACGGATGGATGTGCGCCGATGTATAACAGAAACGCCTGAAGACAATGTCTTAGAACCTGGACCACCTCAAAATGCATCACTTCATGTGTATCATTATTGAGCTTTCCTGGTTACTTCCTCGGCAAATATCCCGAAAATGCAAAGGTTCACAGCTAACTCTTTATTCTATCAGTAGGGCCAGTCCCGAGATCCATCTCAAATATGGGGCTCCATCTTCGTGCGCCATCCCTTCATATCGTATGATCTGTTAATTTATAAGTTGAAACTTTCTCCCAACAAGACCATTGCCTACAAAATTCCATCTGATGCCCTTCCTTAGAAAGATCCTCAGCTGGATAGAATGGCCAAAAGTTGGTGCTATACATCAGGATTAGCCCAAAATTTAGTGTTTTTACTTGGATTCGAAGTAGCTATCATATATAGAAAGCTGATCAAATGCATCAAAGTTTGCCTTTAGTCCAACAAATTGGCTGCCAAATTGGGCGCAACCAGCATCAGGCCACCTACATCCTCCATCTCTGGTGCGTAATGGGCATAGAGTTTCACACACCCGACTAATTGGATTGTTAGAGACATCATCATCTGCCATAAGAGTAACAGAGACAGAGACATCTGATTGCTCATCATTCTGCACAGAACCATCAGATGCTATTTTGGAAGGAGAATACATTAGTTTCTGAGGAATATCTGCTGGGTTGCTTTCAATGTCTACAGTGCAGTTGCCATCCCCTGAGAAGTAAACCTTGCACCCCAGTGATTGTATTGCCCGCTTTATGGATGCAGTTTCCTTGCTGGCTCTCTTTGCTAAATCCACGGCCAAGCTGCTGTTGTGTTTCTCATTTCGCAACTCTGCTGCCAAGGACTCTGTGGTTGCAGTTATTTCTTCCACTTTCCTTTCCGCCACTTCTTTTTCCTGTTAAGATTTGTAAACATCATATTACTCTCTCTATGAAACAGGGATGATGCAGGCTATGATACCAAATTGATGTAGACTAGAAAGAAGAAATGGAGATGGGAAGAGAATTAAGAAGCAGCAGCAAAAGAGAATCAAGAAGAATGGGAGAAGAAATCAGAAGAAATAACTAGGAAAAGACAAAAGACCCTATTTCAATCAATCAATAATCAGTCTAATGAACATCTTACATCCATCATCACTCAACCCTAAATCAAAGAGTCCTAATAATCCATTCCCTTTGTAAAGTGATCACCTGACCGTAAATGAACAAAGATGACAATTATTCATAAGATTTATCTATCTTTATGTAATAAAACGGCAAGTTCTTGACTTATTAAAACATAATGACGGTCTAGGATTCCTAACAATGGATAATAGCAACTTTGTACCAATACCAACAGAATAATAATTATCTCCATGAAATCTTAATGTGAAGGTTTACATTACAATAACAAATGACAATCCGATTCCTAACAAGGGATAATAGCAACTTTCAACTTGAAAAACTAGGATAAGAGTCCACTTCACTTTGCATAGACCAAGAAAAACCAGCTTATTGACCATGTATTTGTACCAAAAATACATTAGAATGTGCATCTTATTTATCTCACCCCCTGTCAAGTCGCATCATTTAGCTAAGTATTGTTGAACTCTGATGCAGAATAATTATTTTCAAATCCTGTTGTAATCGTTCATGCATGTCATGACCTACAATTCCAACCAACTAATAGCAATGTCTGCAGTTAAACAGGCTCTTTTACCTAGATAAGTCGAATTTTAGCCTCCGTCGGCGGCCTCTTTAAGAGTCTTCAATGGAAATATGGAGAAAAAAGACAGTCATATTCATGCCGCATGACTAACAATAAGGTGATATACCAGTGAAAAATATACATAGGAGGAATTGAGATTGACATGACAGCGACTTAATCTATGCAGGCTTTTGTAATGCATAAATGATGACCAGACAGCAGAGAGAACAATACTCAATAAATAAATTGTGGCACAAAATTGTCCATAATTTTTTCTTGTCAAAGCCACCACTTGGTATAAGATCAAAGTTCGGAGCTATCTGCATATAAAAATATGGCAGGGTTAACAGCTAGAAACAGAAGTGATCTACCTTCTGCAGTTCAAAGAATTTTTTAGCCATGCTTCTAAATTGAGCTTCAAGCTCTCCAGCTTGGGCTTCCAATGGGCAAGCCCACCGCAGATGGTACTGAGGCCACAGAGTTGGAGCTAAAGCTGCTGCTGGCGGCAACAGTGGACCTTCATGTTTTGATGGATCATAAAAAGGGTTGTAGTGCGTGTGAGAACTTCCCTCTGAAGCCCGCAAATCCGCCAAATACATCCACAAGCATCCACAGGTATCAGAAACACCTGATTGCTGTCTGTCCTTTTCACTAAAATTAAAAGGGAATAGGTAAGTAAATCGGTTGTTTGATTAAAGCCGATCCCAAGAGTTCACATCTCAAGCTATAGAGTACAAGGCAATGAACAGACAAGTAAATCCAAAATTTATTAGTCTTATCCACATAAACACATAAGAAAACGATAATTTTTTTCTCCTACATGACAAGTTCTACCATTCAAGGCCACATACTGAGCTGAAGCTTTACCCGTGCAAAAAAAATAAAAACTACAATAGGAACACTTGCGCAGAATCTAGTAAAGCACGCTCTAGTACCATGAGATGGTCAAGACACATAATCCCAACAAGGATTCAAACATCGAGTGAGACCGGTTAATACAATACCATTCCGGATGCACTAAAATTTCTCTCACAATCTTTTACCATTCTTCTACTAAATTCTTCGCCTGCCATACACTTTAACTCCACAATACGAAACCTTTGTCACCCTCCAACTTGACTACATTTTTCCAAAATACAGTTCTGGTGCATTTTTTATTTTTATAACTTCTTTCTAGCAAACTATCTATATTCCCACTATGATTATCTTACTGCCGACTAATCATTGCATGTATCAGACAGAACAATGTGATTTCAACCAAGGTGCAGATTAAAAGTTTTAAGCTCATAGTACCTGAATTTCAGTTGAGCCTAATTTTGGTGATCCCATTCACAAGTAAAACTCAATGATAGCAGTTTCACCTTAAGATTAAAAGATGAGCTCTCCTTTTAGCATAACTAATTCAAGAAATATAACTAACTGCTCAAGTTATATAATATATTCAAAAAGCCTTTATCTCTAGAGGAGGTAGGCTAACTCTGGTCCACTTTCTTTTGGCTTCTATTCCTATTTACTACATGTCTCTCTTTAGATTACCGAGTTTGGTTGCTAGAAAAATTGAAGGTTTGATGAGAGATTTTTTATGGGAGGGATTGGAGGAAGGTAGGAAGGACTATTTGATTTCATGGGAAGTTGTGTCTAGACCGAATGAGGCTTTGATGGAGAAATGGCTTTAGAGATTCCTTTTGGAACAAGGCTCATTGTGGTGTTTCATTATTAGAAACAAATATGGGTTACAAGCTAATGGTTGGGATGCAAATGGGGTTGATAGAGGTAGCTTTTGAAGTCCATGGAAATTTATCGCTCAAGGGTTACCAATTTTTTCTCAAAGAATTAAGCTCATGGTGGGTGATGGAAATATAATTCGTTTTTGGGAAGATGTATAAGTTGGTGAGGTTCCATTGTGTGAGCTTTCCCTCGTCTTTATCGTATTTTTTTATTTCATGTTTATAAAATTGTTTCATTAAATTCAATACGAGTCTTCTATCGTGTCTTGGGATTTTGGGTTTCGAATAAATCTTAATAATAGGGAGTGTTCGGAGGTGGTGGAAATTCTTTCATCTTAACAATGTTTCATTGACTCATGGTTGTTTGGATCTAAGAATATGGACTATCGACCTTTCTGGCAATGTCTCTTGTAAATCTTTCTTCCAATCTTTAATGATGATTCTTTTTTTTCCGTTGTTTCCCCCTTCGAGGGTGATTTCAAAAGCTAAAGTGCCTTTAAAGGTGCAAATTTGTGTATGGATAATTACTAATGGCAAACTTCGAGGGTGATTTCTTTATTATCCTATTGCATTCTCACTATGGAATAAATTGTTTAGACTTGTTGGGCATTGTTGGGTGGCATCATGGAAGATGCTTTCGATGTTATGCTTGGATGTTTTGAGTGGGGGAGAGAATAGATAGTGGAAGACTTTGACATTGTGCGAATGTGCATGGAATTAGGGGTGTCAACCGACATTTAGGGTCGGAAGTGGCTACTTCCGCCAGCCAAACCGAATCTACTTGGAAGTAGAAAAGACAAACCAAACTGAACCGATTTACAAGACCATCCAAACTGATAACCAACTTTTAATGACGGTCGATTTACGGTTCGGTCATCCAATAGGCTTAAATTCTATTGTAGACCTAAAATTCTTTTGGCCCAAACCTAGTTAATTTGCCCGGTAGGTCTCATTCTCATTAGTCTCCATAGGTTCATCAATCACTCCTGTAGCATTAGCCAAAGTTGTATTCCCCTCCATCTAAATAAAAAATTTTAATTGAACAAATTAAACAAACAAGCTTAAATATAAAAAAAATCAAGATTCAACGAATACAAAAAGCTGTGAATCAGATAAACACAAAAGGAGAACATGTAGAAATACTTTGTATCATACAAATATTAGGTGGCATAATTTATAGTTTGAGATCCAAAAAAATAGATAGAATAATGTATGGTCAGAAAAATGAGAGAATTTGGGGTAGGTACTCTCAAGTATCAAGATACAAAATGAAAGAATTTGGGGTAGGTACTACTTTTAAGAAGAGGATAAAAATGAAAGAATTCAACGGCTTTTCAAGTAGTGAGGTTCAAGACCCCAAAAAAAAAATGTATTCAAAAATATGTATAAAAAATTAGAGTAAGGAAAAAAAAAAGAAAAACGAAATTGATAGTTGTGGAGAGATAGATGATTAGAGATAGTGAAAGAGAAATTTACCAGTCAAAGAAGGGTTGAGATCTAGTCAATACTCGATAAGGTTGAGATATGTTTCTACTCAATAGTTGATGGCACGGGTCAACCTTGAGATCTACTCGATAGGGTTGAGATATGCTTCTACTCGATAGTTGATGGCATCTTGTGGTCGACTGATCCATGGATGTAGAATAGTAGAAGAAGAGGAAGCTTAGGGTTTTTTCATTTGAGAGAAAGACAAGAGAGAGGCAGCAAAAGAAAATAAGGTATTCTCAAAAGTGGAAAAATAGAGTTTGGTTGCTTTTATATTTTTGTTTTTTTTAAAGGACAAATCCATAGTATATATATATATATTTTATATTATTAATAAATATATTCGGACGGTTCGGTTAATTCGGTTTTGGTTTTGAAGGTATCCGTCAGTCGAACCGATTTAATTGGTTAATCAATTTTTACTTCTGAAACAGACCTGGGATCACTATTAACCGTCCGTTTTGTGTTTGGAATGGTCGGTTGCGGTTTGGTTTGTCGAGTACTTGTGTATTTTGCATAGCCCTACGTGGAATGCTATTGTTTGGGTGATATGGTTGGAAAGGAAGGCAAAATTTTTTTATGATAAATGCAATGAAGTTAAAGATATTTGAGAACCGATTTACTTTTTGACTCCCTTTTGGATCTCTATGTCTAAAGATTTTGAAGATACCCCTCTTTCTAGCATTTTTTCAAATATAATGAATTGACGTTGAATTGTTTTTTTTGTTTTTTTTCCCCAATTTCATGTCTTAGTTTTTGGATGTCTTGTCCAACTTTGACATGTCTATTGTACTTTTGTATTTTATGATTAATGAAATCATTGTTTTTTATTAAAAAAAAAGTGTAAACTTCATCCACCCTCCCTGTAGATAAGTCTAAATTCAACGACACCTCCTTTTTTCTGAAATTTCATTGCACCACTTTCTAGTTAATATATCCACTTTATTCATACCCCTAGCCATGGCCAACCGTTACTGACATCTGAAAAATGGCTAGCATCATCTTACTTTTTTTCAAAATACCAATTTTACTCTCTCTTTCTTCACAATGCATAGCACCTCTCTTTCACTTTTCCTCTCCATTCACACACACCATCATCCACTGCCACTGCACTATCTAATTCACCAAACAAAAATAAATAACATCATATTCAAACTCTATTTTTTTCTCGATTTTAGATGAAAGAAAGACGAATAACCACAATGGGCAACCACCAACACACTATTACAACGCATAGCCACCACTGTGCACCAAAATTCCACCATGCCATCATTCCACATACACCACCACCATAAACATCCACCTAAAACATCAAAAACTACCATCAACCCCAATACACACACGCATACAAACAAAAGCACACAACCAAAATCAAAATCAATTTTCAATTTTAATTTTCCACCTTGATGTTCAAATCATAAGCTAAATCGAAAAATGTCACTACCCCATTTGCCAGCTCTCTTTCTTTCTTCAGTTACTTACAGTAACCAACATTAATTGATACATAAGGTGGTTAGTATTGGAAACTCAGAAACAAACCTTTCAAAAGCCATGAACGATGAACCTCGAGTGCACATTGCATAATGCGATAATTTTGGCCTCAAACCCATCAAGAATAGCATCATAACACTTCAAGAAGAGGGCTTGCATCAAATTTTGAATTTGGTTTTGTTGAAATTACAATTTCTTTGTTGAAATCTCTACCAATATATCTACTCTTCATGTTAGGCTTCAAGACATCAAATTTTTTCACAAGAGTCATGGGAATGAGGGTGGAGCAGCGATTAGGAAGGGGTTAGGCAATGATTGAGGTAGTAAAATTACCTTTTTAAAAACTTTTAAATTACAGATTGATTTTTTTAAAAAAATTTAAAAGATTGATTGTTAATAGTGGCGTAGAGACTAGAGAGATAGTTACATGACACGTGTTAGAATTTAACTGGATAAAACCATATGTGATAATTAAATAATTGAAAATTCTAAGAAAAAAGGAAAGTGGGAGGCAAAACTTTCAAGTCATCTCCCTCTNCATGGGAATGAGGGTGGAGCAGCGATTAGGAAGGGGTTAGGCAATGATTGAGGTAGTAAAATTACCTTTTTAAAAACTTTTAATTGCTTTATATATATAGTATACATAAGTATATATATGTCATGTATTTATCTATTTTAACAGTAAATATTTATGCTTTTTGTATCACTAAATACATAAAATTTGGATGGGCAAAAAGGTAAAAGCACTAATTCCGTCACTTTTGTTGGGGGAACAAAGACTGAGAAGGGATGTCAATGAAATTTTAGAAAAATTAAGGGGATTCATTGAAGATAGGCCTACTACAGGGGTGTGGATGAAGTTTACCCAAAAATATAATAAATTCAAATAAAGAAAAGTGTGGTATAGATCCTACACCTCATATATAGTTACCAGAGCAAGTCATGAAAAGGTAAATACCTATTGCACAGGAAGTTTCCAAAGCGACAAGAAAGCACCCAATCCAAGAAATCTACCAGAAAAGCCTACATTGCAACAAAAAAGTAGTCAGGAAGTTGTTTTCCATCCATCAAATATACAATGAGCAGACCTTTCATAAAAGAAAACATTTTTCATGCAAAGCAAAATGCACATTTTACATATCAAATGAAGATACATACCAATGAGAATTCAAAAGCAAAAGGATACATCCGCAGCAACTGTGAAACACAATCAACCCACTACACAAAAAATTCAAATATCAAATCAAAAAGTTAATTAACAGGAAACATCAGAACACCCAAATGTAATATTGGTTTTAAGGAATAAAATGTGATCTCTTTATCCATTTAATATCGTCCAAATTAAAGGATCATGTAGTTGTCCACAGTAGAAAGAGGTCATTCCAGTATAACAAGAGCAATCCTAGCTCCATTGCCAAGAGTTATCAGAGGACGGGAGCCATCGAAGTATTTTGCATAGCAACAAGCAGAGGAATTATATCTAACGNGAAAGAGGTCATTCCAGTATAACAAGAGCAATCCTAGCTCCATTGCCAAGAGTTATTAGAGGACGGGAGACATCGAAGTATTTTACATAGCAACAAGCAGAGGAATTATATCTAATGGATGGATGCTGTCGAAGGACGTATATTAGTAGAGGAGAACAGAAGGAATCTGGAGAACCATATTACTTTATCAGACTCATTTAGGCAAGATTCAAAAATACAGCAGACTATTGTTTACAAAACAACACTAGTTATGAACAATTTTATTTGAAGTCTTTGCTTGTGAAGAACTATAAGCAGGTATGGCATATAATGATCTTGTCAGATAAATCTATGGTACCATCAAATATCCAATCCTAGCCTCCTCAAACTTGGAGGGCGAGAATTCTATAAGAAGACAATTTAATCATCTTTGAATCTGTTCCCAATAAAAAGCGTCTTTCAGCTTACAAAATATTTAGCAACAGATCAGTTTTGATACTTTCCTTGTTGATATCTTTGTTACCATCCCTCTTATTTTAATGAATGATGATTGCCTTCCCATTTCTTTCAGAATAGAAAACAGAGAGTATATACATTGAATACTTTAAATAGATCTTACTGATTGTCCAGTTTTAAACTCAACTAAAAAAAACTCAAGACGTGTTGATTTTTTTTCCTTGCATAGACAGCATACTTTAGATATTCAAAATAGAGAACTTGTGGACAGATTCCATATGTAAAAATGACATGGTTTTGCTAGAAGCATCTAAGCTAAAACCAATTGGCCGTGAATGGAGATGCCCCTCAACTATATAAACAAATCTTGGGCGACCTTAATCTTTCAATTTGAAATACAAGCTCTCTTTACACACTCCTTCATGTGGAAACCGTACTCGCACAAAGGCTAAAACTGTACTCGCACATAGGCTAATACTAGAACAAACCTACATATTGTCAGATTCAAATAGGTGAGAGATTTAGTCCACTAAATACCCAAGGCCCAACTCTGATATGAAGTTAGACACATCCAACCCAAGTAAGAGGCATCAAACCCAAACCAATTGGCAAGGAGTTGAGAAGGCCCTTAACCATATAAATTAACCTAGGGTGGTCCTAATCTTCCGATATTGGATATAAGTTTCGTATGTCTTGTTTTTTGCCATGCTATCCGTGTTTATATTCTCTTCACAGTTCTAAGAATAGCATAGGAAATGTTTGAAGTTATCAAAAGTTCCATGCATTTCCATGTTGGTAACAATATTACTATCCACCCATTCATGGAAAGGAAACTTTTGACAATATGGTGACACATACTCCCAACCCACCAACCTTTAAAGGATCCCATCACAAGATATAAAAAAGCAGGAATAGTAGAATCTTGCAGACTAAACTATTAGAATGTTATCGTAGAATTGCATNCACAGTTCTAAGAATAGCATAGGAAATGTTTGAAGTTATCAAAAGTTCCATGCATTTCCATGTTGGTAACAATATTACTATCCACCCATTCATGGAAAGGAACCTTTTGACAATATGGTGACACATACTCCCAACCCACCAACCTTTACAGGATCCCATCACAAGATATAGAAAAGCAGGAATAGTAGAATCTTGCAGACTAAACTATTAGAATGTTATCGTAGAATTGCATCCCTCACAATCAGTACAAACTTGAGTAATGTATATGAAATGTTCACATGTTTTCACTATCAATGACGTGAAAATCAGCAGATGTGCACATTCAAAATTTAGAAGTGCAAGTTCATGAATACACTGGGAAGAGACTTCAGAAATTTTGAAATGAGTAGACAAAAATCATGCCACACCAATAGTGCACATTACTCTGACACTCACCTGCAAAAATATAGGAGAATGATTGTTTTGTGCATGTGAAGAACTTGGAGCTTGTGGTGGGAATGATCCTGATGCTTGGCGCATCGGCGATGATGGGAAACTCCCAGTCGAAGACTGCCTAGNCACTGGGAAGAGACTTCAGAAATTTTGAAATGAGTAGACAAAAATCATGCCACACCAATAGTGCACATTACTCTGACACTCACCTGCAAAAATATAGGAGAGTGATTGTTTTGTGCATGTGAAGAACTTGGAGCTTGAGGTGGGAATGATCCTGATGCTTGGCGCATCGGCGATGATGGGAAACTCCCAGTCGAAGACTGCCTAGATAATTCTGAAGGCATGTTATTACCTCCAGATACAGTTGGTATTCCCACGCGATCTGAAAAAGGATGACCAAATGCAAGCCAATCTTTTTCCACAAGTGCCTGCATCAAAGCAAAAGAATTAAATCGCCCAGGCATCTCCGTAGAAGTTTGTTTTTCCCGAACTGATCTCCATGTAAGTTCAAGGATATCAAATCCCACAATAGAGGGGAACGGCGNTTTCCACAAGTGCCTGCATCAAAGCAAAAGAATTAAATCGCCCAGGCATCTCCGTACAAGTTTGTTTTTCCCGAACTGATCTCCATGTAAGTTCAAGGATATCAAATCCCACAATAGAGGGGAACGGCGTTAGCCCTCTAACATTGATATCATCACAAATACATGTCTGGCAAGACGTATATTTACTGAGATATATATACACTGTGGTTGCCAAAACTGTAGTTCACTCACCAGTTTGAGCCTAAAATGGCCGGAGGGAAGTATTTGACACAAAGAAAAATGAATAGAGATATGGAAGTGTTCTTCTTAAACAAATAAAATTCAATGGATACAGGTTCATAACCAAACGTAAGTTTAAAATGCAAAGAAACAATTCAGAGTTTGTTGCCTCTCACATAAAACAGAAATCACCCATACTTCTAGCAAGTGCTGAAGATAAAGTCTGGGTAAAGGAAACACAAACAATTGACTTAAACAAGGAACTAAAAGGTGCACCAATGTCTCACCAGTACCTGAAACCCCACAAATGTCCGGTAATATGGATCAAGTAACAAGCTAGCAAGCGAGACCAATTGAGTTGTTCTATCCCATCCATCACTGTGCAACACAATTTTAAAATGCCAAAAGGCTAAAGGTATCAGTGGAGTAATATGAATACAACAACAATGATGATGATGATAAAATGATTTGGATATAATGAATAAAAGAAAACAAGGTGAGTATTTTCCCAAGTGCTGAGTAAACAAAATTTGAGGTAGCATAATTTATTTGATGACACTGAGTGAAAGCTTCAAACAAAGACGAACAAGGAACAATGAGTCACCATTTAAGATAGACAAGTGAATCTGTACAAGTGTTAGCGGTAAAAAATGATTAATAAAAAACCACAAATATGTAAATCTTTTGATTGCCATTCCAACAAGACTTGGCTAATGCAGAAAGTATGATCTTTGTTATTAAAANTCTTTTGATTGCCATTCCAACAAGACTTGGCTAATGCAGAAAGTATGATCTTTGTTATTAAAAAGGTCATCTCACTTTCATAGTCTGACAACATACATTAATGAATATCACACCACAGATGATTCCTGAACCAAATTCATGACTAAAATTTAATGGCAACATAGTCAAGCACTAAACAACGTGCTGCACTGGCACATTAAAATAGTCAGCATTTGGAATCATAATAACAATCCAGATTTTCGCTTATTTTCCTTTCAATGGCATAACAGTGGAAACCTTTGATCCCAATCAGGTAAATTTGCTGGATCCCACACACCCCTTAGTTGGATTGCAGTACAACCTGTTTCTTACATCTCTTTTGATCAGCTACTTATTCACCTCATCCCATTAAGAAAGAACTCTCCATAGATATCTTGGCCTGAAGCACTGTATATAGATCAAGACAACGAAATGCTTAAATGCTTTTTAGCCAGGCATTTCTATAGTTGACACAGACATACCTTCACTGGCCCTTTCAAAATGTAATATCTTCCAGAGTCAACATCACTAAGAGTTATAATCATATCGGATTTACAACATCAGATACACCTTAATTCATTTGTTAAGACCAATAATATTACAAGTAAACAAAGAATCAGACCTTACAAAAATGGCGCAAAAAACAGGGGGAGCTTTAGTCTTCCTCTATCACATTCAAATAGATTAATGATTCCTATAAAAAATCCAACTTTCTAAGCGTAAATTGTCTTGGGCACTCACATGAAGCTTCTAGGTAAACATCAATAAACCTAAGTACCTAAACCTATATTTGATTTTTGCAAGAACGAAAAGTGTGAGAATGATTAAAGCATTAAACACTGGAATGATCAGAAATAGGTGATTAACAGATGCAAAAATAGTGGCATCTCTAGAATGCCCAGAAAAANTCATTAAACGCTGGAATGATCAGAAATAGGTGATTAACAGATGCAAAAATAGTGGCATCTCTAGAATGCCCAGAAAAAGGATGCATAACATCTCCTTATGTGCTTCTCTTTACCCGTGAAAATTTGAAAATGACATCGTTCTCATCAAAGATTAAAATATTGTTTCGAAACATCCGAAACGTTTCCGTTTCTAAGGAGACCAAAACGAATCATTGATGGAATCAAAATTCTAATACTTCGAGGTGTTCCATAATATTTCGAAATGTTGTTATATTTCAATATATTTGTACAATTATTTCACAATGTTTCAAAATATTTCAAGATATTTTGGTATATTTGATCAATATTTTGAAAAAATAATTCTCAAATTTTTTATTTTTTTATTTTGTTTCCGAAACGGAACGAAACATTTTCGAAACGCATCGAAATGTTTCCGTTTCCTGATTGACCGAAACAATGCACCGAAACAAAATTTTGATCTTGTTTCTCATGCTCTGCTACTCAACATACTTTTAGATCTTGACTGCTACATACTTTGGTAAAAGCCCATTTATATTTGAATTTAAAGCTGCATTCGTTTATAAGTAATATGATTCACTCAACATATATCCATAATCCATATGCATGCATACTTGTAATTATACCCATACAAGAAATGGGAAAATATGATATACACTAACAAAGACATTCAAAGGCTTTGGCACGCTTCTGCTCAAAGAAAATTTAAATTGCCACTTTCAAGCTCTTAATTTTGCTCTGTCTGTATATATTTTATGTCTATAATGTGAAAATTCAAGGTTTAAACATTATGTTTGAAAATCTACATACAAACCAAGGAAATTTGACCTTGGGGTTGGAGCACACCACATAATAATCTCTGTTCAACAATATAATCTTCCCCCACCCCCACAAAAAAAAGGACAAAAACAGAGATATAAAGAGGAGAAGGAATGGGAGAAAGCGAGAGAAAGGGGAAGGAGGGGGGGGGGGAGGCAACCTAATGGACGAATATAAGAAGACCATAGTCATCCAACAATAACCTTCAATTAGAAGAGATAATATAATATTCAAATGAGTATTTTAATACCTATTTATAAAAATAAAGGAGATATTCAAAATTGTAATAATTATTAAAAATAAAATTAATGAGTCATACAATAAAACTATGGGAAAGGGTCATTGAACGTTGCCCAAGAGTTGAGACTACAATTTTGAAAATCAGTTTAAGTTTATGTCTAATAGATCAACTATGGAGGCAATATATTTATTAAGGACACACATAGAAAATATAGAGAGAAGAAAAAAAATCTCCATATGGTATTTATAGATATTGAAAAGACGTATGATAAAGTGCCTAAAAATATAATATGGAGGGTCTTTGCGAGAAAATGAGTGACGAATAGGTATATTGAGGTGATGAAGGACATGTATGACGGGACTATAACTACAATTAGATCCTCTGTGAGACAAAGTAAAGAATTTTTAATCGCAGTGGGATTATACCAAGGATCAGTCTTAAGTCCATATCTATTCGCCCTAATTATGGATGAACTCACTGAGCACATTCATGATGATGTCCCATGGTGCATGCTATTTGCAAATGATATTGTTTTAATAAATGAAATTGGAATGGAGATTAACAATAATCCAAAAATTTGGAGAAAGACACTTCGCGAGAGAGCAGAGCGTACTGCCCAACATAGTCACGAGGAGTCAAAAAGGTTTAAAATAAGTAGGAGTAAGACTAATTACATGCAATGCAATTTTAGTAATAGAAGAAATAGACATAGTAAAAAGTTAAGATTGAAATTCAAGAAATACCAACGAGTAAACGATTTAGATATCTAGTATCGATTATTAAAAATGATGGAGAGATTAGAGACGATGTAACTCATAGAATCAACGTCATTTGACTTAAGTGGAGGAAAGTCTCGGGCATATTATGTGATAGAAGGATACCAATAAAATTGAATGACAAGTTTTACCGAACAACTATAAGGACAACAATGTTGTATAAAACAGAATGTTGGGCAACTAGAAAACAACATAATGACATAATGAGTATAGCGAAAAATGAGAATGTTAAGATGTATGTGTGAAAAAACTAGAAATGATAAAATACAAAATAACCGTATTAGAGAAATGGTAAGACTAGCTCCAATTGCGGATAAGTTGAGAGAGAATAGATTAAGATGATATGGTCATGTTCAACGGAGGCCAATAGAGATACTAATTAGAAAAAGTAATAGAATTTCTATTAATGGTATTAGGAGTTAGGGTAGACCTAAATTAACATTGAACAAAATAATAAGAAAAAATATGAAAATATTTAATTTAAATGAGCATATAGCACGTGACCGAAATGAATAGCGCAAACGGACTCATATAGCCAACCCCAAATGATTGCGACACAAGGTTTGGTTTTGTTGGTTAGTTGGTAATATAATATTCAAATGACTCAAGGAAAATCAGACGTGTGGTAAAAAAATCCAACTGAATAACCTTGATTATCATCACAAAAGCAGCACAAGTATCACAAATATAAGCATTAAGGGCATCAAAAGTTTTCTTACCTACAATGAACAAGGACTGATGCTGATTCCAAAGCAACACGCGCAGCAATCCAAGCTGAACCAGCCAAGACATTGTGAACATGTATTAACCAACCAGTGTCTCCAAGGGTCGATACTGAAGCAGACATACTGCTGAGATTGCCCCCGCCCCAAGTCCATCCACCATGTCTCTATCAATAAAATGGCACAGAAGATTACTGAAGTGTTATAATTATGCTAAATTTCAGTAGAAAGGCATTGGAAATCGTCAACTTAACTTTCTAAGAAATGCCCAGATAATCACAAAGCATATTTGAACCAATAATTCTCACAACGTGGAAAAAGTACCATCAAAAAGGGCCAAGTCAAAGAGAAATCAAAAGGGGAAACAAAGGAAAAGACGAAATCATTAGGAAGCTTTAAAGAACTGTATTCTAGCTGAAGCAACCCTGTGAACACTCCTGAGTGTCCACATGTGATGCGGTAAGGTACCACACAGTTGTGTCATGTGTGCCACGAGTAAGTTACATACTCTACTTTCTGCATGACCACATGGAATTTAAATATGTTATCCTTCAATGGTACACTATTAGATACAAAATACCTAAGTACACTTTTCAAATTATCTACGAAAAATAGATGCAACTGTTACCGACTTACAATATCTTTCTAAATTGTTTCCATTAAAAAATTTAAAGTACACACACCCAACCTTATGTATAAAAATTGCATCAATCGCCAATCTCAAGCATATTAAACTTAGTTTATAGCATTTTGCAAATGTGATTTTCAAAAAATTGCACTACTTACCAAGAATGATGACATTCCATCTGATGAAGTGGTTCCATGAGTATCTAAATAGTCCCTAAGCCGAGAAAGACTATCCCTCATTGCATGTATATTATCTATCCCGAGGAAAACTATCTGAAAACAGATTTTAAGGAAAGATCATGAGTGCATAACCTAGCAAATTACAGAACCATTGTTGTGCAGTATGCTGCATCACCAGGTAGCTCAAACCTTAGACAGACCTCAGATTGAAAATAATTGGAAGAAGACTCTGATCCACCTCCCATTGCGCCATTTGCCAAAGCATTTTTTCTAGGTCTTGCATCAGCAATATATAGCTTCCTAACAGGATAAATAAAGTACTTCATTAAACCTCTCCTGGGAGCACATCAAAATTATAACTATCTTTGGTTGGCCCATGTTATACTGAAACTGAACACAAAATCCCATCAAACAAGTGATTCGATAACCTTAAGAAATTTTGAAAAATGGATAAGTAGGGAGGATATATAATCAGTTTTATATGAGAATTAAGAAACAAAAAGGAACACAATATACAACTAAGGAAACTCAACAAAAAAGCCACGAACAAGAGTGTTGAATCACAAAAGGAAAAAAACCCAGGTTACCTCCGGGGCTCCTTTGCTCCAACAAGTTGAGTGCAAAGGGCAGCAACTAGCTTCTCATCAGCATTGCTGCAAATAAGAATGCAGAAGTGGATTAGGACAATTTCTCGGAGAGAAAAGAATGAGAGAATTTACAAGCTACCAATTCCAGATTTTCACTAAATCAACCATCAATCTGTCCGGTTTGAATAATAATCAGTCGGTCAAAACAAAAACAACACCTTGAACTTGATGCATACAAAAATTACCTCCTCATATTCATCATAAGACCAACTAGTGGTTGAGATGACCGTGAAAGAACAGCTCCAGTCCCTACAACTCATTTCATGAATCAAGGCAGTAAATGGAGGTCAAGACAAAATGCAACCTAATGCATACCTGGATGACACCATGAAATCACAGGCAACCTACACCGTGCACGAAAGGTGCAAGCCTGCAGCACCTCTTCATCGCTAACATCAGCAGCCATGGAAAGTAATTAGGTACAGAGATTCAGTGTAAAAGATGCGTATTTCAAACAACTTGAAACGGTAGAACAAGAAAAGGATGAATATGTGCCTCACCTGATGCATTTTGGAATAAGCAAGGCAAATGAATATGTTGGGCACATGGTATAGTTCGCATTCACGGCACTAATTCTCCACAACTCATTAGACAATGTGAATGACCCATCTTCAATAAGGCGGATTGAAGCATTATATGATCCCATTCCAAGAAGCCGAAAGTACTCATTCAATAACCGCACTCTAGGGTTGGTGTTACCAAATCTTGAAGGACCAGAAGCAAAAGCATAGAGATCCAAGAGTCTTGTTGGCCTTGTGCATCTCAATAAGGCTTCAAATACAGCGCGCCTCTGTAGAATTTGTGTAACTACATCAATTCTCTTATGTGCAAGAAACAACTTGCAGCATCCATAGTCATAGGGGTGTTAATCGAGCCAAGCCTTCTAAGCTCAATTATGCTCAAGCTCGTCTGGAGCTCTTCAAGGGGTGTTCAAGCTCGGCTCGAGCTCAGTTATCGAGCCTATATTTTTGTTCAAGCACAGCTCGAACCGAGCTTGAGCCAAAAATGAGCCACTTAGAAAAAATTCTAAATCTATAATTTCTACGTACCAAATCCAAGATGTTAACATCAAAAAACTCCAAAAAAAAAAAGGGTTGGAAAGATACATACTAAGGTTTGTTTGAAAGAAAGCATGTTGATGGGTTTACGAAAATGGAAGAAGCGAGTTAGAGGATGTATGGATACTTAGAAAAAAAAAGGGAGAAAATGGAAGAAGATGACGCAGAGAGAGAAAGAGAGAGAGAGGACTGGTGATGGAAGTTAGAATAGGGGTTCACAGCTCAAGGCTATAGTTGTTGTAAGGAGAGGGAGGGAGAGAGAAAGGAAAGTAGGCCGTCTTTACACATATATCATGAATAAATGGGAAAAATGAGCTAGCTTGCGAATAGCTCAGAACAAGCCAAAAAAAGAGTTGAGTCCTAATAGATCAGTTTGTTTAACAGCCCTATCCATAGACTCACCACTTCACCATAGCCCCACCATAGCCCTATCCATAGACCCACCACTTCACCTTTGCCTATACCCAGGTCATGCCAGTGGGAGGGGACCCTTGTGGAATTCCCAGACATTTATGATCAACCATTCTTCCAGTTTACAAAGTGCAAATATAAAATAGTTATGATATTTTGAGACTAACGATGTCTAGAAATGCATTGACTCAGTGAGTTTCTTTCGCCAAGAGTAGAATGTGGAGTGACTAATACTATAAGATACAAACCAAACACAATACATACAAGAGAACAGTCACTTACGGGAAAAAAGTACAAGAGAACAACTAAGTGATAAGGACATCAAAACAATGCAATCTTAGATTGTGATTAATCTGAAGCAAACATCTTCACCACCACTTGTAATTCTTTTAAAAACAAGCATATATGGATGACAACGTCAAGTCAATTGGTCGCTCTGTAGTCTTTGGTCTTAGTTTGGATGAAAAAGTCCTTTAATGGCCTTTTACAGGCCGAGGATTTAAAAAAAGGCGAGAATCTTCAAAAATAAACTGCACAAGCAGTGTAAATTCGCAACAAATCTAAATTCAAAGAGTTCAAGGATTTGTAGAGTTCTTAGGAGTTTGGACAAAGAAATTATAGTTGAGACTTGATGGAAGTTATTTGTTTCTTTTGTGCTTTTACGTAAGCAGAAACCAGTCCCATTCTTTAGGTCAGGGTGTTTGTGGAACACTTCACATACCAAAAATAATGCTAAGAAAGCAAGCCAATATTCTACAGCCAACAGCACCTTTCTGGTATGCATTCCATATAAAATTAGAAGTTTTGGAACACATATAACTTCAACACTTATAACTGACCTGCCTGGTTCGAGGACGAAAACCAAAGACAATAATTCGCATATCCTTGCCTGTAGAATGTAATAGGAATCCACAAGTCCATCACAATCTTCACAAATACAAAAAGACACAGGGGACACGTAAAAAACAAGTCAATCATGAAGCTCAACATGTGCTTGACATCCAAACGGTTATTAATTTTAAACACAGATGCAGGCTTGAGACATGCACTTAAGCATCGACTGGGCGCAAGTCTCTCATGTTAATATCTCAAAAATAGTTTCCACTATAAGAATGCTTTGATTTGAACTTCCTCCAGCAATTCCACTCCTAATATTTTATCAGTATCTCCTCACCCACATCACCAGAGGCACGACAACGACCAGTATCCTTATTGAGACAATAGATTTTTATATTCCATAAGGTCAAATCAATGAAATTTATTTCATTTGTCGTTTCTCTTCACTCTCATCCCCCAAAAAACTGATATATATATTACTTAAAGCATACGAGAATAACCAATATCTCAAAAAAAAAAAAAAGATGGCACAAAAAGTTGCATCAGGAATTTATTGAAAACATACCAGTGACCTGAAGAAGTCGTCGCGATGGGGACCTGTCAGATTGCCGGGGGGCAGATGGAAGTTTCATGACCTACATTACCGCAACATAACAAGAAGACATAATAACTCCATGCCCAAAGTGTTGTAATAGCAAAATATAATCATGCTACTGCTAGTTGGGTTTCCTTTTTCCCTTCACTTAAGTTTCAATTAATGTTGAAAGTTGAGTAGATTTCAGGGAAGAGTTAAAGTTTTTCCTAATCATTCCAACCTTGGAGTTGAAAGATTGCGAAGCTCCAAAGGGACATTCTGTGGAGGGTACAAGACTCCAAGTGAGGAACAAGACTATCATTTAATGATTTTTTTTTTCGGTTGTGTTGTCGTTGTTTTTGGGATAGAGGGAGGGGGGTGGATATAAGAACTTCAGCCCTGTAGCAAAGAAATTGCAGCGGCTGAGGTAGTTTTGTTGTCAGAAGCGAGCCAACAAGGCCACACACCAACTTCTCATCAGAATTCACAGGATTGGGAGGTTGATTTAGTGCAACCTTCAATAAAGAAACCTTATGGGAGTAAAGCCAAAAAGGATGGGTGAGGTCAAGAGGGGGCAAATAGTGGTGTTTACTCTGTTAAGTCTCCTATGCCCAGCTCAGTGGGGGAAGGGGTTAGGCCTTCCAGCAGAAAGCTACGTGGACTACTATGGCTCTAAGAAGGTTGCCAGCCGGTAATGCAATTTTAACAGTTGATTAATGAAGGAGATGAGATAGGGTCTGCATTGATGGTGTTGTATGTGCAAGGAAGCCTGAGAATGTGAATTATCTATCACTTCAGTATTGTAGATAGACTTTTGTGGTCTTCTCTTTTCACTATGTTCATGCCAATTGGATCATGTTGGGGTTGGTGAAAGGCCTATTGCACTGGTGTAAGGACTTTGGCAGAAAGGCCCTTGTACTTGCTGAGGTGCCATCATCCAAAATTCCTAATTTCCTAATATCTTGTAGGATATTTTATGATATTGCTATTATCCACACAAGAACAAATAGAACATGTGAAAAACTTACAATTTTGTTGAACTTCTCAATTGTTGCCAATGGTATTGTGCCAAGCGTGATAATATTTCTGGACCCTTCACTCTTAAAAGTTGAAAAAACAAATTAGATACATCCTGGAGCTAAAAAATTGGCACAAATAATTTACATAAATAGTTGAATTTTGAAAACAGTTTTCAAAGAAAATGCAGTACTTTGAATTCCTAGAAACAAGGATGATATATTGATAGATCAACACTAAATGCAATTCAAGTTGCAAGTAACATAATCATGCAGATATAAATGCATACATACGTTTTCAAAAATTTGCATACACTTACCTATGTATGTATGCATGCATGTGCGTGTGCAGTTGAGACCACTCACGAAGCATATCAATGGAAAAATTTTGAAACGTGAAGCTGCAAATGTATACTCCCTCCATCCCTATAAATCTTTCACTTCGACTTGGCACCTAGTTCAAAAAAACATTTGAACGCACCAATTCTTGCTACACGCTTTTTATTTATCGTATTTTCCCTCACTGNATCATGCAGATATAAATGCATACATACGTTTTCAAAAATTTGCATACACTTACCTATGTATGTATGCATGCATGTGCGTGTGCAGTTGAGACCACTCACGAAGCATATCAATGGAAAATTTTTGAAACATGAAGCTGCAAATGTATACTCCCTCCATCCCTATAAATCTTTCACTTCGACTTGGCACCTAGTTCAAAAAAACATTTGAACGCACCAATTCTTGCTACACGCTTTTTATTTATCGTATTTTCCCTCACTGNATCATCTATGGTCAACAAGGACGAGGTAAACACCTTACAGAGGCAGCAAAAATCTTGGAAGTCATGAGAAGATCAACAAGAATTTTAAATAATTTACAAAGTCGCAAGATCCATCTAGTTCATTGCCTTTATAATACAGGTAATTTACCAAATCTGTAGCATCAAAAAAATGAGGCAAGTCACAGTTAAGGGTTCTTATCCACAGAAATTACGTTTTCTTTGTTTCCTCAATACACTACAAGAAAGTGAAAAACATTAAGTAGCCATTTCCCTAAAAGGATCGTCTAAGTACATCTTACCTTACAATGAAGGATCCATAAAGTCTCTTGAAAAAAGAAACCACTTGGCAGACCTGACTGGACCATCTTTAACAATTGACCTTTGGAAGTACTGTAAAGCCCGCCCATTAGTCAAGTGTGTTGTCCCACATCAGTAAAATAACACCTCCCATAGGATGTGAGCCGTACGAGTCTCTCCACTCATTTCCAATAAGCTTTTTTTTAGATGTTTCACATAGTATCAGAGATAGGCTTAAAGAGGGTTTGGACAAGACACAATTTCACTGATATAGTAACTGATTCTCATTTTGTTTGTCCATATGTGCATTGTTTTGTCTTTAAATGCAATTCTTTTGTTATATTTATGGGATGAATTTGTGTTTGTTAACAAAAAAAAGATTGAAACTCCATATCGCTGCGGCAGGAGTGTTTCAATTGGTTGATACACCCCCATCTACTCCTTCAAAGGTTAGGCCCTTTTGGAAGTAGTACAAGGGCTTGGATATGTTGGCTTTCTAGACTCACCTGTGATGCTTTGTCAAGTGATCTGCATTGATGTTGGGTGAGTAGTTTGTGATAAATTTGTGCTTGTTAATCGGAAAAAAAAAATCTCCACTTGCAATTAGGGGGGGGGGGGTCACATGTGGTTTGANAACGCTTTTTATTTATCGTATTTTCCCTCACTACTTCGACTTGGCACCTAGTTCAAAAAAACATTTGAACGCACCAATTCTTGCTACACGCTTTTTATTTATTGTATTTTCCCTCACTGGTAATGCGAGGGAATAACTAAAAAAATTTTGAAATTTGAATTTCTTTTCAAACAAAATTTATCTTGTTAAATTNGCACAGTAGAGCTTTTGACTAATTGTCCTTTGTCCTCAATTGGATTTAAAATAATGGTGGATTGAAAGGAATCTGCATTTGGCATCAAGTGGTAATTTCGAGTCCTTAAACAATATTGCCCTTTTCCAAACAATTTAACCTAAATCCCATATGNCACGCTTTTTATTTATCGTATTTTCCCTCACTGGTAATGCGAGGGAATGACTAAAAAAATTTTGAAATTTGAATTTCTTTTCAAACAAAATTTATCTTGTTAAATTTTGCAACACTTGACTTGTTAAATAGGGTATAGTGGNTGGGTTTAACCAAGTCGGAATATTGGGTGTTCAGGCTAGAGTGCATTTTCAGGCCTTGGAAAAGATACCCACTTAATCCCGAGCCAAGAATTTCCAACCAACAAAGGTTTTCATCCGCCCATTGAACCATTTTACCAATCCAAACGTGTCATAGTAAGAAATTGGACAAATAGNTTTTGCAACACTTGACTTGTTAAATAGGGTATAGTGGAAATCCCAAATCGGAAATGTGGACACTGTAGCAGGGATGCAGCGTGCAAAATCATCCATGTCAACTGGAAAGAAAGTCCATCACAGCATTGCTGCCCCTGGCTTATACTGAAATGCAGCAAAGAATCACCAATTACAAGCCCCACTGAAATGGCGACCAAATTTGGGCTAATACATCTCGGACATATTTGTTGGCACATTAACAAGTGACACAGACCAGGGGCCCTCCTAACAAGGCTTACTTTTGGGCTATAGCTCAGAAGAAACCTAGGCCCTGTTTAGTAGAGTTTTCGAGGAAACAAGATGAGTTTCTGAAGCTTCGATTGCAAGAGCATAAAAAAATTAAGGAACATGGTGTATTGGACCATTTTAATATTGTTTCCAAGAAGAAAATAAAAGTGCCATGAATGCTGATCTATTCGACTCAGTTTCCTAAAAAAGCATTTGAAAATAATGAATCAAACAAACTTGTAACCTCTTCTTCTGTTTTCCGTAACATTGAGGACATAAAATATTATGTAGAAATAGCCACATTAATGCTTGAAACACGGACATTTTAAAAGCCCTTGGCCTGAATATCTGTGATCCATCAGTAGAGCTTGTTCTTTACTAGATACTTCACTTGGGAGGAGCACTAAACACTGTACTGCACATTTATGGCATGTTAGGGTTTGCTTGATACAACCAAGTTCTACAACCACTAAACCAAAGGGGCCTCAATAGTGGAGATTTTTAGTAAAAGTTCACTACTAGACTTCTCTTCGAGTCTTAGAAAGATAAACAGTGCAACCATGTGAGTTTGTCCTTAATTATTAGAAAATACGAAAGAAGACAGGTTTAGGTTCCACAAAAAACCCATGATTGCCTCATAATCCCAAACAACATGTAAATGGACCCTAGAACTAGAATAACTCAGGAATCTTTTGCGCTCAGAAATGTAAGAGTTCAACTGTATACGTTTGTCCTTAATTATTGCAGAATGGAATGGTGACAGATGACATTCAGCGAGGCTTTAAGTTCAACTAAACCAATGACTGCCTCATAATCCCACCCAAAATGTAATTGGAATGTAGAACTGGAATCACTTTGGATTATACTGGGGAAGGATGCTTGACATTTTGCAAACTGTAATGAAAATAAAATAAAATTCCTTCATAGAAAGAGAATTATGAAATTGTCAATAAAAACAAACAAAATTTCCCCAAGGTGGACAGTTCAACAAAAGGATATCAAACATCTAATTCTGAATTCCAACAGTAACATTTTTTTTTGGAGAACCAAAAGCACGTAAAACTTGAGCGCTTTTCACTGCTACCTTTCTCAACTATTCTAGAATCAATTAATAGAGCATGCACTAGCAAAAATCCATTAAAACATCTGATACTAGACTGCTAATCCTCGTCCATGGAAGGAATTGTAGATTCATATTATAATTTACATGTAATAACAAACTGTGGAAGTAATGGGACACAGGATGTGCATCACTTACCAAAAAAAGAAGACGAAAATTTGTCACGAACAAGGTACCAGCCTCATCAGTATTAACGAGGACAACACCATATCCCTAGAAGCAAACTCCAATACCTCAGTAAGCCTAGTCATGCAGTAAGCCGAGGTGGCCAGACAATAAAAAAGAAGAAAGAACTGGAAAGCAGTAAAAACATTACTTAGATAATTTAGCCATCATCTATGGTCAACAAGGACGAGGTAAACACCTTATAGAGGCAGCAAAAATCTTGGAAGTCATGAGAAGATCAACAAGAATTTTAAATAATTTACAAAGTCGCAAGATCCATCTAGTTCATTGCCTTTATAATACAGGTAATTTACCAAATCTGTAGCATCAAAAAAACGAGGCAAGTCACAGTTAAGGGTTCTTATCCACAGAAATTACGTTTTCTTTGTTTCCTCAATACACTACAAGAAAGTGAAAAACATTAAGTAGCCATTTCCCTAAAAGGATCGTCTACGTACATCTTACCTTACAATGAAGGATCCATAAAGTCTCTTGAAAAAAGAAACCACTTGGCAGACCTGACTGGACCATCTTTAACAGTTGACCATTAGTCAAGTGTGTTGTCCCACATCAGTAAAATAACACCTCCCTTAGGATGTGAGCCGTACGAGTCTCTCCACTCATTTCCAATAAGCTTTTATTTAGATGTTTCACATAGTATCAGAGATAGGCTTAAAGAGGGTTTGGACAAGACACAATTTCACTGATATAGTAACTGATTCTCATTTTGTTTGTCCATATGTGCATTGTTTTGTCTTTAAATGCAATTCTTTTGTTATATTTGTGGGATGAATTTGTGTTTGTTAACAAAAAAAAGATTGAAACTCCATATCGCTGCGGCAGGAGTGTTTCAATTGGTTGATACACCCCCATCTACTCCTTCAAAGGTTAGGCCCTTTTGGAAGTAGTACAAGGGCTTGGATATGTTGGCTTTCTAGACTCACCTGTGATGCTTTGTCAAGTGATCTGCATTGATGTTGGGTGAGTAGTTTGTGATAAATTTGTGCTTGTTAATCGGAAAAAAAAAATCTCCACTTGCAATTAGGGGGGGGGGGGTCACATGTGGTTTGAAGATTTGTGAAAGCACAGTAGAGCTTTTGACTAATTGTCCTTTGTCCTCAATTGGATTTAAAATAATGGTGGATTGAAAGGAATCTGCATTTGGCATCAAGTGGTAATTTCGAGTCCTTAAACAATATTGCCCTTTTCCAAACAATTTAACCTAAATCCCATATGGGTTTAACCAAGTCGGAATATTGGGTGTTCAGGCTAGAGTGCATTTTCAGGCCTTGGAAAAGATACCCACTTAATCCCGAGCCAAGAATTTCCAACCAACAAAGGTTTTCATCCGCCCATTGAACCATTTTACCAATCCAAACGTGTCATAGTAAGAAATTGGACAAATAGTTTGAATAACTCCCCACATGTGCGAGGTTGTTTCTGCAACTCGAAAATCATGCACTTCAGAAACCCATCCAAAGAAATTCTGGGAAACATTCTTATCCATGATCACTAAAATGCTAAAAAAATCCAAATTAGTAATTAAACAAATCAAAATTATTGATAAATTTGCCTCCAATTTTTCACATTCATATTAATTCATTCTCGAAATCCCGCATACAATATTGTTTCCANCCATGATCACTAAAATGCTAAAAAAATCCAAATTAGTAATTAAACAAATCAAAATTATTGATAAATTTGCCTCAAATTTTTCACATTCATATTAATTCATTCTCGAAATCCCGCATACAATATTGTTTCCAATGCTAAAGAAATTTCAAAGCACCTACCTCTACTATGACCTGTTCGGCTTCGAGCAAGAATTGAAGTACACCTAGTGGAACAGACCTAGAAACACGCTGCGAACAATAGAAAATTAAACCAAATCAGGAACTGCATATACCTATAAATATGAGGTGAATTGAATCGTATTGAAATGAAGACACAGAGAGAGGGGGGAGAGAACCCTAGGAATAAGGGAGGAAAGGATTACTTCGATCTTTGTCCATTCGAGGGCGTCAATCTTCTCCGACTCATAGAGTCTACTGTCCGAGTCATGGAGCGAGGTGGATCGCCCCGAGCGAGTTCTGGGCATAGCCATTCGGTGGCTCGACCTCGAGATCTTGTTTATTGGCAACACAGTTTGTAGAGAGAGAGAGAGAGAGAGAGAGAGAGCCCGTCCAGAGAGTTCCGGTGACCACTTGGAATATTCNAACTAAACCAATGACTGCCTCATAATCCCACCCAAAATGTAATTGGAATGTAGAACTGGAATCACTTTGGATTATACTGGGGAAGGATGCTTGACATTTTGCAAACTGTAATGAAAATAAAATAAAATTCCTTCATAGAAAGAGAATTATGAAATTGTCAATAAAAACAAACAAAATTTCCCCAAGGTGGACAGTTCAACAAAAGGATATCAAACATCTAATTCTGAATTCCAACAGTAACATTTTTTTTTGGAGAACCAAAAGCACGTAAAACTTGAGCGCTTTTCACTGCTACCTTTCTCAACTATTCTAGAATCAATTAATAGAGCATGCACTAGCAAAAATCCATTAAAACATCTGATACTAGACTGCTAATCCTCGTCCATGGAAGGAATTGTAGATTCATATTATAATTTACATGTAATAACAAACTGTGGAAGTAATGGGACACAGGATGTGCATCACTTACCAAAAAAAGAAGACGAAAATTTGTCACGAACAAGGTACCAGCCTCATCAGTATTAACGAGGACAACACCATATCCCTAGAAGCAAACTCCAATACCTCAGTAAGCCTAGTCATGGAGTAAGCCGAGGTGGCCAGACAATAAAAAAGAAGAAAGAACTGGAAAGCAGTAAAAACATTACTTAGATAATTTAGCCATCATCTATGGTCAACAAGGACGAGGTAAACACCTTATAGAGGCAGCAAAAATCTTGGAAGTCATGAGAAGATCAACAAGAATTTTAAATAATTTACAAAGTCGCAAGATCCATCTAGTTCATTGCCTTTATAATACAGGTAATTTACCAAATCTGTAGCATCAAAAAAACGAGGCAAGTCACAGTTAAGGGTTCTTATCCACAGAAATTACGTTTTCTTTGTTTCCTCAATACACTACAAGAAAGTGAAAAACATTAAGTAGCCATTTCCCTAAAAGGATCGTCTACGTACATCTTACCTTACAATGAAGGATCCATAAAGTCTCTTGAAAAAAGAAACCACTTGGCAGACCTGACTGGACCATCTTTAACAGTTGACCATTAGTCAAGTGTGTTGTCCCACATCAGTAAAATAACACCTCCCTTAGGATGTGAGCCGTACGAGTCTCTCCACTCATTTCCAATAAGCTTTTTTTTAGATGTTTCACATAGTATCAGAGATAGGCTTAAAGAGGGTTTGGACAAGACACAATTTCACTGATATAGTAACTGATTCTCATTTTGTTTGTCCATATGTGCATTGTTTTGTCTTTAAATGCAATTCTTTTGTTATATTTGTGGGATGAATTTGTGTTTGTTAACAAAAAAAAGATTGAAACTCCATATCGCTGCGGCAGGAGTGTTTCAATTGGTTGATACACCCCCATCTACTCCTTCAAAGGTTAGGCCCTTTTGGAAGTAGTACAAGGGCTTGGATATGTTGGCTTTCTAGACTCACCTGTGATGCTTTGTCAAGTGATCTGCATTGATGTTGGGTGAGTAGTTTGTGATAAATTTGTGCTTGTTAATCGGAAAAAAAAAATCTCCACTTGCAATTAGGGGGGGGGGGGTCACATGTGGTTTGAAGATTTGTGAAAGCACAGTAGAGCTTTTGACTAATTGTCCTTTGTCCTCAATTGGATTTAAAATAATGGTGGATTGAAAGGAATCTGCATTTGGCATCAAGTGGTAATTTCGAGTCCTTAAACAATATTGCCCTTTTCCAAACAATTTAACCTAAATCCCATATGGGTTTAACCAAGTCGGAATATTGGGTGTTCAGGCTAGAGTGCATTTTCAGGCCTTGGAAAAGATACCCACTTAATCCCGAGCCAAGAATTTCCAACCAACAAAGGTTTTCATCCGCCCATTGAACCATTTTACCAATCCAAACGTGTCATAGTAAGAAATTGGACAAATAGTTTGAATAACTCCCCACATGTGCGAGGTTGTTTCTGCAACTCGAAAATCATGCACTTCAGAAACCCATCCAAAGAAATTCTGGGAAACATTCTTATCCATGATCACTAAAATGCTAAAAAAATCCAAATTAGTAATTAAACAAATCAAAATTATTGATAAATTTGCCTCAAATTTTTCACATTCATATTAATTCATTCTCGAAATCCCGCATACAATATTGTTTCCAATGCTAAAGAAATTTCAAAGCACCTACCTCTACTATGACCTGTTCGGCTTCGAGCAAGAATTGAAGTACACCTAGTGGAACAGACCTAGAAACACGCTGCGAACAATAGAAAATTAAACCAAATCAGGAACTGCATATACCTATAAATATGAGGTGAATTGAATCGTATTGAAATGAAGACACAGAGAGAGGGGAGAGAGAACCCTAGGAATAAGGGAGGAAAGGATTACTTCGATCTTTGTCCATTCGAGGGCGTCAATCTTCTCCGACTCATAGAGTCTACTGTCCGAGTCATGGAGCGAGGTGGATCGCCCCGAGCGAGTTCTGGGCATAGCCATGCGGTGGCTCGACCTCGAGATCTTGTTTATTGGCAACACAGTTTGTAGAGAGAGAGAGAGAGAGAGAGAGAGAGAGAGAGAGGGAGAGAGAACCCGTCCAGAGAGTTCCGGTGACCACTTGGAATATTCGTACCTTGCAAAAAAGACAAACTTTGTCTGCGGGGAAACGTGATAAAAATACGATACTTGTTTTAGGGATTTAGGTTTTGTAACATTTGTTTTTAAAGTAATTTTACTTAAATTAGTAATTCACCCGTGCGTTGACCGTAAATAATTTTTACATATAAAATTTAATAAAAAAATTTAAGTGTATATGTATCAAAATTAAATATCATATCAAGTTTATAAAAATTATATTTCTATCGCTNGCTTGTTTTAGGGATTTAGGTTTTGTAACATTTGTTTTTAAAGTAATTTTACTTAAATTAGTAATACACCGTGAACGTAAATAATTTTTATATATAAAATTTAATAAAAAAAATTAGATATATATGTATCAAAATTAAATATCATATCAAGTTTATAAAAATTATATTTCTATCGCTCATATTACATTATAAAATTTGAAAATATTTATCTGTTATCAACGATTTGTTGTTCTAACTTTAAGAAAAAAAATGATAAAATAATTCATTCTAAAATTTATTTGATTAGATTTCAACATATAATTCATTGAATAAAATAATAATGATTGTCAATATTCTAATCAATGCTTATTTTTAAGGGTAACNATAAAAAAAAACGATAAAATAATTCATTTTAAAATTTATTTAATTAGATTTCAACATATAATTCACTGAATAAAATAATAATGATTGTCAATATTCTAATCAATGCTTATTTTTAAGGGTAACATAGTCAATTAAAAAGTTTTATTGATATTAATATTTATACATAAAAAATAGAGAATTAAAAGAGATATTAGGAGTAATTTGGAAATTTAAACACTAAGGATATGATGGTAATTTAACTATGAAAGGATAATGTGATATTTAAAATTCTTTATAAGGGTAAAATAATGAATTAAAAGTTTTTTGTGCTAAGATAATTTTATTAGTAGTATAGATAGATAAATATAGATATAGATATGTAAATTTAAATTTTTCTTTTTTTGTATACAAGTACATTGCACGTGGATCATTTTCAATATCAAATATATTATTGCTATAAAAATTATGAAATAATGTCAACTATACAAATAAACTCTGCTTAAATATTTGGTGTAGTATCTAGTGAAACTTAAGTCATGAACAAATTTAGCCACATATTAATATGTCAAATTAGAGTTTCAATAGTCTACTCCAAATTTAATATCTATCGTTTCTAAAAGGATAACAAACAAATTGATGCTTATATTATGATAAGCTTGGGATGGTCTACCTCAAAATTCACTATCATATTTTCGGTCACTACAAGAATNATTGACCTTTGGAAGTACTGTAAAGCCCGCCCATTAGTCAAGTGTGTTGTCCCACATCAGTAAAATAACACCTCCCATAGGATGTGAGCCGTACGAGTCTCTCCACTCATTTCCAATAAGCTTTTATTTAGATGTTTCACATAGTATCAGAGATAGGCTTAAAGAGGGTTTGGACAAGACACAATTTCACTGATATAGTAACTGATTCTCATTTTGTTTGTCCATATGTGCATTGTTTTGTCTTTAAATGCAATTCTTTTGTTATATTTATGGGATGAATTTGTGTTTGTTAACAAAAAAAAGATTGAAACTCCATATCGCTGCAGCAGGAGTGTTTCAATTGGTTGATACACCCCCATCTACTCCTTCAAAAGTTAGGCCCTTTTGGAAGTAGTACAAGGGCTTGGATATGTTGGCTTTCTAGACTCACCTGTGATGCTTTGTCAAGTGATCTGCATTGATGTTGGGTGAGTAGTTTGTGATAAATTTGTGCTTGTTAATCGGAAAAAAAAAATCTCCACTTGCAATTAGGGGGGGGGGGGTCACATGTGGTTTGAAGATTTGTGAAAGCACAGTAGAGCTTTTGACTAATTGTCCTTTGTCCTCAATTGGATTTAAAATAATGGTGGATTGAAAGGAATCTGCATTTGGCATCAAGTGGTAATTTCGAGTCCTTAAACAATATTGCCCTTTTCCAAACAATTTAACCTAAATCCCATATGGGTTTAACCAAGTCGGAATATTGGGTGTTCAGGCTAGAGTGCATTTTCAGGCCTTGGAAAAGATACCCACTTAATCCCGAGCCAAGAATTTCCAACCAACAAAGGTTTTCATCCGCCCATTGAACCATTTTACCAATCCAAACGTGTCATAGTAAGAAATTGGACAAATAGTTTGAATAACTCCCCACATGTGCGAGGTTGTTTCTGCAACTCGAAAATCATGCACTTCAGAAACCCATCCAAAGAAATTCTGGGAAACATTCTTATCCATGATCACTAAAATGCTAAAAAAATCCAAATTAGTAATTAAACAAATCAAAATTATTGATAAATTTGCCTCAAATTTTTCACATTCATATTAATTCATTCTCGAAATCCCGCATACAATATTGTTTCCAATGCTAAAGAAATTTCAAAGCACCTACCTCTACTATGACCTGTTCGGCTTCGAGCAAGAATTGAAGTACACCTAGTGGAACAGACCTAGAAACACGCTGCGAACAATAGAAAATTAAACCAAATCAGGAACTGCATATACCTATAAATATGAGGTGAATTGAATCGTATTGAAATGAAGACACAGAGAGAGGGGGGAGAGAACCCTAGGAATAAGGGAGGAAAGGATTACTTCGATCTTTGTCCATTCGAGGGCGTCAATCTTCTCCGACTCATAGAGTCTACTGTCCGAGTCATGGAGCGAGGTGGATCGCCCCGAGCGAGTTCTGGGCATAGCCATGCGGTGGCTCGACCTCGAGATCTTGTTTATTGGCAACACAGTTTGTAGAGAGAGAGAGAGAGAGAGAGAGAGAGAGAGAGAGGGAGAGAGAACCCGTCCAGAGAGTTCCGGTGACCACTTGGAATATTCGTACCTTGCAAAAAAGACAAACTTTGTCTGCGGGGAAACGTGATAAAAATACGATACTTGTTTTAGGGATTTAGGTTTTGTAACATTTGTTTTTAAAGTAATTTTACTTAAATTAGTAATTCACCCGTGCGTTGACCGTAAATAATTTTTACATATAAAATTTAATAAAAAAATTTAAGTGTATATGTATCAAAATTAAATATCATATCAAGTTTATAAAAATTATATTTCTATCGCTCATATTACATTATAAAATTTGAAAATATTTATCTGTTATCAACGATTTGTTGTTCTAACTTTAAGAAAAAAAATGATAAAATAATTCATTCTAAAATTTATTTGATTAGATTTCAACATATAATTCATTGAATAAAATAATAATGATTGTCAATATTCTAATCAATGCTTATTTTTAAGGGTAACATAGTCAATTAAAAAGTTTTATTGATATTAATATTTATACATAAAAAATAGAGAATTAAAAGAGATATTAGGAGTAATTTGGAAATTTAAACACTAAGGATATGATGGTAATTTAACTATGAAAGGATAATGTGATATTTAAAATTCTTTATAAGGGTAAAATAATGAATTAAAAGTTTTTTGTGCTAAGATAATTTTATTAGTAGTATAGATAGATAAATATAGATATAGATATGTAAATTTAAATTTTTCTTTTTTTGTATACAAGTACATTGCACGTGGATCATTTTCAATATCAAATATATTATTGCTATAAAAATTATGAAATAATGTCAACTATACAAATAAACTCTGCTTAAATATTTGGTGTAGTATCTAGTGAAACTTAAGTCATGAACAAATTTAGCCACATATTAATATGTCAAATTAGAGTTTCAATAGTCTACTCCAAATTTAATATCTATCGTTTCTAAAAGGATAACAAACAAATTGATGCTTATATTATGATAAGCTTGGGATGGTCTACCTCAAAATTCACTATCATATTTTCGGTCACTACAAGAATTTTGGATTTATGCATCATTTTTTTTTTGCGACTGTTCTTAATGCCATCGTTTAAAATAATTTATTTGCAATGGGAAGCCATTGTCGTGACAACAAATACAATAAAATTTTATTTTTTGCAACATGAGTTTTTTCTGTCACAAATATTTTCGCTTGTGTTACATTGAGGACTTGTTGTGATAATTAATCTACATAAAACCACGTTGTTTTGTGGATCTATTATTAAAATGATATTATTTTGTGGGTCGGGTCTACTGTTTTAGTAATATAATTTTTTTTCCCTATAAATTTAGTAATATATTTGATGAAAGAATAAAAACCTATTTTTTCCCTTCATAGTTGACAGTTTGCACCCCTCTCTCTCCCCCTATATTCACACGTCTCTCACACTCATGATCAATTCTTTCTTTAGCTTATCGACTCTCCTCTCTCCCTCTCTCTCTTTGTTAAAAATTGAGTAAACCCTAGGTCTCCAAATTGCTGCTGCCACTNATGGGATGAATTTGTGTTTGTTAACAAAAAAAAGATTGAAACTCCATATCGCTGCAGCAGGAGTGTTTCAATTGGTTGATACACCCCCATCTACTCCTTCAAAAGTTAGGCCCTTTTGGAAGTAGTACAAGGGCTTGGATATGTTGGCTTTCTAGACTCACNGACGACATCAATCTTCGATTGTGGGCAATTACTTTCTGTATTATAACAGATTTCAGTCGTCCCTCATCTTTTGGGTATGTTGTCTTCATCCTTTTTATTGATTGCTCTATCTAGGTTATTTAATTGTTCTCTATCTCTCCCATCCTTTTTATTGATTTTTTTATCTGGGTTTGTACCCATTTATGATTGGGTTGACACTACTCGATCTTATCTAAGTGGTGGTTGTGTGATTTGATAGTATGCAAGTATCTGCTCTTTCATATCAGTCATGAGATTATGTATTGTCCAAATTTTATAAGGACTTTTGTTGGATATATTTGTGAGTATATATTTGTCCCAACTTAAGGAAGTT